CTTTACTTTACAGCCGATGCCACGAGCAGAGGAGGGCGCCGTCAGGGTGTTCACCGCGCTCTCCCGGTTCCGCACCGACTCGGTGACAGGCACCTGGTCCGCTTTGTTCCCTCGCTGCGCCTCCCGCAGCCCGTGTCGCTCAGCCCCGTGGGCCACAGGCTCAGACCATCGGTTCAGGCTCACAGCACAGCCTGTGGCTGTCACTGTGCTGGGACTGCACGTGGCTTTGCCACGCGAGGACCGTGCCCCCTGCTTAGTCCCAGGCTTGGAGCTGTCCGAACACTGAGCACTCTCCACACCTGGGTTGCAGGTTCGATCCCCGGCCCCGGTCAAAACATGTGCGGGAGGCAACCAATTGATCTCTCTCTCTCTCTCTCTCTCTCTCTCTCTCTCTCTGTCTCTGTCTCTCGCTCTCTTTCTTCCTCCCTTCCACTCTCTCTCAAAATCAGTGGGAAATGCCCTCAGGTGAGGATTAACCAAAATGAAAATAAAACAGCCGGCTCTGGAGGTAACAGAAACGCCATAAAGCGGCCCTGGCGGGGGTTTGCTTTCCCCGGACCCCGCGGTGAATAATTGATGGAGGGCTTTATGGGAGCCCAGCGCCCACAATGAATGTTCCATGAGAACCGGCAGCCGTTCCAACACGGATTTCTCTCCGTGGACTCGGCTGGCAGCCCGGCCAGATTTGAGCTGCTACATTGCTTCTGTAGAAAAACCGTCATCTCACTTTCATTTGCATTTTTGCAGGCCTTTGAGGGCGATGCGGCCACTCCTGCTGGAGCCGGGCTGAGAGAGGGCCTGGGTTTGGAACAGGAAGGAGGGGCGGGGCGGGCACAGCTGCCGCACCTTCCCGCCTGCAGGCGGCAGTGAGGCGGGGGAGGGGGAGCCGCCGTTCTGGGGCCACAGAAGCAGGAGGGGCTGAGTCCTGGCCACCTGAGGGGGGCGGGGCAGGAGGAGGGGGTGGGAGGTCCCCGCCAAGCAGCTGGGGAGGAGGGTACAGGGTGGGCGCAGGGACAAGGACACTTCACACTCGTTAGGAAGCTCAGGTTAAAGCAACCCAGCTGCCGGCGCCACAATCTGAACGCCGGCGAGGAGGCGCTGACCATGGTGAGTGCCGGCCACGCGGTGCCGGCGAGGAGGCGCTGGCCATGGTGAGTGCCGGCCACGTGAGTGCCAGCCACGCGGTGCCGGCGAGGAGGCGCTGACCATGGTGAGTGCCGGCCACGTGAGTACCAGCCACGCGGTGCCGGCGAGGAGGCGCTGACCATGGTGAGTGCCGGCCACGCGGTACTGGCGAGGAGGCGCTGGCCATGGTGAGTGCCGGCCACGCGGTGCCGGCGAGGAGGCGCTGACCATGGTGAGTGCCGGCCACGCGGTACTGGCGAGGAGGCGCTGGCCATGGTGAGTGCCAGCCACGTGGTGCCGGCGAGGAGGCGCTGGCCATGGTGAGTGCCGGCCACGCGGTGCCGGCGAGGAGGCGCTGACCATGGTGAGTGCCGGCCACGCGGTACTGGCGAGGAGGCGCTGGCCATGGTGAGTGCCAGCCACGCGGTGCCGGCGAGGAGGCGCTGGCCATGGTGAGTGCCGGCCACGTGAGTGCCGGCCACGTGAGTGCCGGCCACGTGAGTGCCGGCCACGTGGTGCTGGCGAGGAGGTGCTGACCATGGTGAGTGCCGGCCACGCGGTGCCGGCGAAGAGGCACTGACCATGGTGAGTGCCGGCCACACGGTGCTGGCGAGGAAGCGCTGACCATGGTGAGTGCTGGCCACGTGGTGCTGGCGAGGAAGCGCTGACCATGGTGAGTGCCGGCCACGCGGTGCTGGCGAGGAAGCGCTGACCATGGTGAGTGCCGGCCACGCGGTGCCGGTGAAGAGGCACTGACCATGGTGAGTGCCGGCCACGCGGTGCCGGCGAGAAGGTGCGGCGGGGACTCGCCCGGGCTGGGGGATGCAGCGGGCACAGCCGCCATGGGAGGTAGACTGGCAGGTCCTTACAAACCTAACCATAGCCGTGCCCTCGCCACACGACCCGGCAGCCCTGCTCCTTGGTGTTGCCAAAGGAGTTCCAGCCCGTCCTCGCGGGAACCACACAGACGTCCACGCAGCTCCACTGGGAAGCGCCAGGCCTGGGGGCCACCGACGCCTCCTGTGGTGAGGGGTGCGGAGGCCGGCCCACCGGACAACCGCGTCACTGACCGCAGGGAGCGACGGAAGCCCGAGGAAACGGCACAGCAAAGGCTGGTCCGAAAGCCGGCGTGGGGGGAGGGGTGCCGGTGGTGGGGGGGCCGGTGTGGGGGGTGGGCGGCGTGGGGGGGGGGGGGCCGGCGTGGGGGGGGGGCCGGCGTGGGGGGGGGCCGGTGTGGGGGGGGGCCGGTGTGGGGGGTGCCAGCGTGTGGGGGTGCCGGTGGGGGGGGGCCGGTGGGGGGGGGGCCAGTGGGGGGGGCCGGTGGGGGGGGCCGGTGGGGGGGGGCCGTGTGTGGGGGGGGGGGGGGCCGGTTGTGGGGGGGCTGGTGTGTGGGGGTGCCGGTGTGTGGAGGGGCCGGTGTGTGTGGGGGGCCGGTGTGTGGGGGGCCGGTGTGTGGGGTGCCGGTGTGTGGGGGTGCCGGTGGGCGTGGCTCGGTGGCTGAGCATCCACCGACCTCTGAATCAGGTCATGGTCAGGGCACTCGCCAGGGTTACAGGCTAAATCCCAGCTTGGGGCGTGCGGGAGGCAGCCAATCCGTGATTCCCTCATCGCTGATGCTTCTCTCTCCCTCTCCCTTCGTCTCTGACATCAATAAGAATAAGTTATTTAAAAAGAAGACGAGAGCCATTGCCATGGGTCCCAGTGGCCGGTTGCGCCTGCGGGGGGGGGGGGGGGGGGGACGCCGGCAGAGGCCGCAGAGCCGCCGGCACTGGCACGTCACCAGCGCGCTCAGGTGGGCCGCAGCCTCAGCTCTGCCAGGAAAGACTCCGAGTTCCCAAACTGCCGCCCTGACTTCTCGCCAAGAAAAACAAAACCAGCAGCAGCTGCCAGCTCGCTCTCCGCCGCCCCCGCGTGGCTCCTGGGGTCCCCACCATGCTGGCTGCCCCGGAGAGCGGCCTCGATGTGCAGACGGCAGCGGGGCCCTCCGGCTCCTCCTCACGGCTGCCCTGGGCGCCCCATTCTCACTCCTGGGAGGGCCGGGGCCTGGCCTGTGCCCACGGCCACGGCCACGGGAGGGGCTCCCACGGGGGGGGGGGAGGATGGCCCAGGCTGCAAGCCAGAGGCCGCAGGAGCACTCCTGTCCGCTCTAGCACCGTCAGGGCCATGTGACCAGGTTCTGGCCTTGGCCACGTGACCTGAGACGGAGGGGACTTGGAGGTGGGATCGCACTGAGGGTCTGGGATGAGCAGTGACCCTGCTTTTCCAGGGGGACCAGGAGCAGAAGCAGGTCCAACCGTGCCCCCCGACCCCACCATCTCTGAGCAGACTCCCAGGAGGCCACAAGCCCCTCGCCTGTCCCCCCACCACGTGGTCCCCCTACCATGTGGGCCCCCCTCCTCCCGCGCGGTCTCCCAGGGAAACCAGGTTTATGCCGCAGACAGAAAACCAGACGAGGCCCAAACAGCACAAACACCCCAGAAAACTGCCCAAAGAGAAAAATGTGTAAAAGTTTTCTATTTTCATACATACCTTTAAAAAAGATACATTCCCAGGATAAAACAGTGCATAGCAAATGGTGTTTGTGCAAAACCCGGTAAGAAAACGTCCTGCTGTCCTTTAAAATGATTCAGAGAAAAAACGCGCTGAAAGCAAACAGGAACGTCCTCGCTGGTGGCTCTCGTGTGCAGCAGCCGACGCTCACCGGACCCGAGGCCACAGCCCCACCGAGCAGCCCGCCGGGCGCCAGGCCTGCGACAGCCACTCCTCAGCCCGCTGCTGGGAGGCCGCCACCCGTGGAGGCCAGGGAGGCTGTGGAGGCTGTGAAGGCCCAGAGAGGCCGTGGAGGCCAGGGAGGTCATGGAGGCCCACAGAGGCCATGGAGGCTGTGGAGGCCAGGGGGCCACTAACCATGGAGGCCCAGAAAAGCCGTGAAGGCTGTGGAGACCCATGGAGGCCGGTGGAGGCCATGGAGGCCCAGAGAAGCCATGGAAGCCCAGAGAGGCCGTGGAGGCTAGGGGCGGGGGGGGAAGGAAGGTGGCCCCTTCACCGGTAGGTGACCTTCGCCGGCAGGTGACCTTCACCGGTAGTTGGCCTTCGCCAGTAGGTGACCGTCACCGACCTTCACCGGTAGATGGCCTTCGCCGGGAGATAGCCTTCGCCGGTAGGTGACCTTTGCCAGTAGGTGGCCTTCATCGGTAGGTGGCCTTCGCCGGTAGGTGACCTTCGCCAGTAGGTGGCCTTCGCCGGTAGGTGACCTTCGCCGATAGGTGGCCTTCGCCGGTAGGAGACCGTCACCGGTAAGTGGCCTTCGCCGGTAGATGGCCTGGCCTTCGGCGGTAGATGACCTTCACCGGTAAATGGCCTTCGCCGGTAGGTGACCTTCGCCGGTAGGTGACCATCACCAGTAGATGGCCTTCACCGGTAGATGGCCTTCGCTGGTAGGTGACCGTCACCGGTAGATGGCCTTCGCCGGTAGGTGACCTTCACCGGTAGGTGGCCTTCGCCGGTAGATGGACTTCGCCGGTAGATGGCCTTCGCCGGTAGGTGACCATCACCGGTAGATGGCCTTCGCCGGTAGATGGCCTTCGCCGGTAGGTGACCATCACCGGTAGATGGCCTTCGCCGATAGGTGACCGTCACCGGTAGATGGCCTTCACCGGTAGGTGACCTTCGCCAGTAGGTGACCTTCGCCGGTAGATGACCTGGCCTTCGGTGGTAGATGACCTTCACCGGTAAATGGCCTTCGCCGGTAGATGGCCTTCACCGGTAGGTGACCTTCGCCGGTAGGTGACCGTCACCGGTAGATGGCCTTCGCCGGTAGGTGACCGTCGCCGGTAGATGGCCTTCGCCGGTAGGTGACCTTCGCCGGTAGGTGACCTTCACCGGTAGATGGCCTTCGCCGGTAGATGGCCTTCGCCGGTAGGTGACCGTCACCGGTAGGTGACCTTCACCGGTAGATGGCCTTCGCCGGTAGATGGCCTTCGCCGGTAGGTGGCCGTCACCGGTCACGGGTAGATGGCCTTCACCGGTAGGTGACCGTCACCGGTAGATGGCCTTCACCGGGAGGTGACCGTCACCACTTTCACCGGTAGATGGCCTTCACCGGTAGGTGACCTTCACCGGTAGGTGACCTTCGCCGGTAGATGGCCTTCGCCGGGAGGTGACCGTCACCACCTTCACCGGTAGATGACCTTCACGCAGAAGGTCTCCTCGTTCTTGTCCTCGTGGTCGTTGATGTGGATGAGCACCTCGCGCTCCCCAGCCCGCCGGCTGGGCGCGAACCGCATGTCGATGGTGTAGGTCTCTCCGCCCGCGACCTGGAACAGGCGTGTCAGGCCCGCAGCCCCTCCCCCAGCCCTCCTCCACCCCTGCCCTCCAGCCCGGCCGGCGGGGCACAGCACCGTGGCCTGGCCCCCCTCGGCCGTGGCTGGGCTCCTCCAGGCACCAGCTCTGAGCTGCGGGCCCTGCTCCTGTGAGGCCCCCATGGCCGCTTCCACGCCCGGGGACACCTCCCAACCACAGGCACCCACTGGCCTCCCGCCCACCTCCCCGCAAACGCTCAGACAGAGGGTCAGCGTGGCAGTTCTGATAAAACGATCAGTCACCCGGCGGGTCGGTCATCAGGCCGGTCCTCCATGCCGCGGACGCGGTCTCCGAGGCGGAGCAGTGGCTCACAGAGGTGCCCGCCCGCCCCCAGCACCGCTCAGAGCGCGGCCGCCCAGGGCTGGTGAAGACCGGACGCGATGGCCTGGCTCCTCCCTCCGACCCGCCAGGCTCAGGCCCCGGCCCGCTGCCCACCTGGAAGGAGTCCTCGGTGAACTGCAGCAGGTCGGGGTGGTCGCTGTGCAGGCGGTAGGCCCGGCGGAAGGGGTAGGGGTTGGTGTAGGTGATCTGCTTGTGGGCGCCCTTCCCCTCCCCGGCGGCCATGGTGATCTCGAAGGCCTGTGGGGGCGGCGTGGGCGTGGGCGTGGGCGTGGGTTCCTGCAGGGACTCCAGAGCCTGCTCTGCACAAGCAGGACAGACGGCCCCCCTCGGGCTCCCAGGGGAGGACCTCCCCCCCAGCACAGGAGCACCCCCCCCCGGGGCTGGGAGGACGGGAGGAAGCTCTGCCTGGAGCCAGGCCTGGGGGGGTCAGGTGCCACGCCCCCAGACCTTGGAGATGAGGGGCGGCCTGCAGGACAGGCACACGAGCCAGGAGGCCACCAGCTGGTGGAAGTCCACGTCCACCACGTTGAGGTGCACAAAGCGGCTGCCCGCCCGGCGGGGCCTCACGCCCACGTGCAGGTCCTGCACCCCGTGGGGCGGCAGCGCGAAGACGCCTTTGGGCTCCGTCTGCGGAAACCACAGGGGAGTGGGGACAGGGGTTCCAGCACCTGCCCCCGGGTCACTGCCTGCTGCTCGGGGCGGCCTGCCCGGGGGCCACGTGGCGGGTGAAAACGTGGATCTCCGTGGGCTGTGCCAGAGCGGTCACAGCCCGTTCCCCCCGTGTCTGACGCCCCCTGTGTCAGGCAGTCCCCTCCTGCATGGCGGGGACCCTCTGGCTCTCAGGGAGCAGTGGCAGGAGCCGCCCGGCCCGCTGAGCAGAGTGCCCGCTGCACTGACCCAGGCTGGGTGCTCTCTCCCTCGACTCTGACACGGGTGGGGTTACGGGACCCGCCCACGTGCCTGCCTGACGGAGGGATCGGCCGGAGACGCCACAGACCGCCAGCCGGAGGGGCAGTGAGCCTCCCGGGACCACCCACCGAGCGCAGCCCAGGCCCGCGGCTCGCCCCACCGTCCACCGTGGCCAGAGAGCACCGCAGGCCGTACCGTCAGCTCCTGGGGGTGCGAGGTGAAGGCCCGCACGTTCCTGAGGGCCGGTGTGCCCCGGAGCACCAGCGACAGGCGGGCCCGCTGGCCCACGACACAGGACACGTCCACACGCTGCAGGGCGTGCAGGTGCACCTGCCAGATCTGCGCGGGCGCCGCCAGCCAGCGGTCCCTGCGGGCACAGAGCGGAGGAGGCCGGGAGGCGCCGGGCGAGGGCAGGAGGACGCGGACAGCTGTCCCCTCCCGCGTGGGCGGCTCAGGGGCTGCGGCCCAGGGTCACTTGGACTTGGGGGGCCGAGAGGGATGTCGGTGTGGGCTTCGCAGCCAGGCACCCGGGCAGCCGGGACCCGAACCAGGCCCAGGCGAGGCCGTGGCTGTGCTACGTGGAGGGCCGTGGCCTGGCGGTCACAGGCCCGAGCTCGGGGGCCCGGCATCCGCTGCCGGGGCCGTAGGACGAGCTGTCTCCTGTGAAAGGGACTCAGCCATCTCTCCTGTGATGGGGACTCCACTCTACAGGTCCCTCTGCCTAGGACGGGCGCTGCACACAGGCTGCGCTGCTGACACCAGCTCGGAAGTTCTCGGGGCCGGAAGACGCCACTGCCAGGGACGGGGGGCCCAGGTCTTCAGCAGGTCCCCAAACAGGGTCCCCGAACAGGGTCCCCGAACAAGGTCATGCGGGGGGGAGCAGAGGGGCCGACAGTCTCCGTCGCCCGGAGGAAGCACTGCGAGGGCACCGGGTCTGAGACTGCGTGTGCCGCGCGGCTGCCTCCACTTCCTCCTCCACTTCCTCTCCGCGGTAGGCTCTGGACCCACCGGCCCTCGGCCGCGGTGCCGCCCTGAGCGGAGGGCGCCTTCGCCGGCCCTGCCAACCCGTGACGAGCTGAGGAGCAGCCGGGCCTGGCCAGGCTCAACGCCCAGCGCCCGCTCTTCCTCCCACCCCCACGCCCGGCCGCCGACCGCAGGCCGCACACTCACACGTAGACGACCACGAAGAAGTCTTTGACGTCCGGGCTCGGGCCGCTGGCCACCTTCAGGAACACGTCCCTCGGCTCCCCCGGGCCCTGTGGACAGGGGGCGTCACAGGCCGCCGCCCGGACCGGACCCGCCCCGGGCCCCACGAGGCCACGCGGCGAGAACCAGGCCCGAGCCCCCAGTTTTCTCTGCGATGAAAACGCCTTGGCTGCCCCCTGAGCTCAGAACCCCCTGCAGGAGCCAGTACCCAGCGTCCCGCCTGGTCATGGCACGACAGCCCCCCCTGTGCACAGTGGCGATTAATAGAGCCCTCATACAGGCTCCTCACCCTCCCTCCCACGGCACAGGACGGATGCGCCCGGAAGCTCGCACAGGCGGCAGCCAGCCCTCCCCCGGGGAAGAGGCAGCAGCGAGGCTGCGGGGGTGCAGGGACCTCAGACTGCGGGGGTGCAGGGGCCGCGGGCTGTGGGGGTGCAGGGACCGCGGGCTGTGGGGGTGCAGGGACCGCGGGCTGTGAAGGTGCAGGGACCGCGGGCTGTGGGGATGCAGGGAGGCTGCGGGGGTGCAGGGACCGCGGGCTGAGGGGGTGCAGGGGCCGCGGGCTGTGGGGGTGCAGGGACCGCGGGCTGTGGGGGTGCAGGGACCGCGGGCTGTGAAGGTGCAGGGACCGCGGGCTGTGGGGATGCAGGGAGACGCGGGCTGCGGGGGTGCAGGGGCCGCGGGCTGTGAAGGTGCAGGGACCGCGGGCTGTGGGGGTGCAGGGACCGCGGGCTGTGAAGGTGCAGGGACCGCGGGCTGTGGGGGTGCAGGGAGACGCGGGCTGCGGGGGTGGAGGGGCCGCGGGCTGTGAAGGTGCAGGGACCGCGGGCTGTGGGGGTGCAGGGACCGCGGGCTGTGGGGGTGCAGGGGCCGCGGGCTGTGAAGGTGCAGGGACCGCGGGCTGCGGGGGTGCAGGGGCCGCGGGCTGTGAAGGTGCAGGGACAGCGGGCTGCGGGGGTGCAGGGGCTGCGGGCTGCGGGGGTGCAGGGGCCGCGGGCTGCGAGGGTGCAGGGACCGCGGGCTGCGGGGGTGCAGGGGCCGCGGGCTGAGGGGTGCAGGGAGGCTGCGGGGGTGCAGGGAGGCTGTGAAGGTGCAGGGACCGCGGGCTGAGGGGGTACAGGGAGACGCGGGCTGCGGGGGTGCAGGGACCGCGGGCTGCGGGGGTGCAGGGACCGCGAGCTGCGGGGGTGCAGGGGCCGCGGGCTGCGGGGGTGCAGGGACCGCGGGCTGCGGGGGTGCAGGGGCCGCGGGCTGCGGGGGTGCAGGGACCGCGGGCTGCGGGGGTGCAGGGAGGCTGCGGGGGTGCAGGGGCCGCGGGCTGCGGGCCGCGGTGCAGGGAGACACGGGCGCAGCGGGGCGGGCGGCCACTCACCGTGCTCTGGGTCTCACAGATGACGTGCGGGTCGCTGCAGCGGACGTGGACCGGGGGCGCCTCGCCGGGCATCCCCACGGGAGCACCTGGGCGGAAGACGCCAAGACAAAGGTGTCCTCCCGCCGGCGTGGCCGCGGGGGCCGAGGGGACGGGCCTCCAGGCCGCCATTCCCCATGGCCACCGGCTTCCTGCTCGGCCGCCGGGCCCGTCCGCAGGCAGAGGCCAGAGCGGAGGCGGAGTGCCAGCAGCCAGGCCAGCCGGCTCCCTCGGTACCAGGGCACCAGCACAATCGGGGGCAGGGTGGCGGCGGCAGGAGGGAGCCGGCAGCTGTGCCGGGGTCGGTGAGACCATCCCAGGCAACAAGGATGCCACCACCCGCCACCCTGGGGCGAGCCTCCCAGCCCTGAGCCCGCAGCGCGCTGGGCGAACGTGCCTGGGAGCAGGTGCCAGGGCGGCAGGCGGATGGCCTTCTTCAGGAAGGTGAGCTCCGGGTGGTAGAAGCGGAACACCTGGTGCACCGGGTGTGGCTGCGGCTGCACCGTCAGGAGGAGCACAGCCAGGGGCTGCCCGCCGCCCGCCCTGAACAGCACCTGGGGGGGGGGGGGGGAGGCCCGTCAGGGCGCCGGCCGGCGGGCGGGCAGCTGTGTGCCCCGGGCCCTGCCGCAGACACGTGCGTCTCCGTGTCCTCACGGCCCCACGGAAACCCGGCCAGAGCCAGGCAGTCTGCATGGGGGCGTCCACATGTGGACGTGTCCCCCACGTGTGCACCATGACGGCTGCCACTGCCCTGTCTGCCGAGGAGGGCACACACAGGGGAGCCGGCGGGGTCTGCAGCCCGGCGCCAACTCGCCTTTCGCTACTGCGGACCCCCTCTCACCGGCACACGTATGACAGGATGGGTGCACAGAAGCCTAAGTGACACACGGACAGGACAGCCGCCCACAAGCCCACGTCCCATACAGAACAGCACGCCCTCCACACGGCAGAGCTCCGTGCCCCAGCCCCGCCGACACCCTGAGTCTGAGGTCACTCCCTGCCCCCTGTACCCCTCCCCACCTGGCACCCTGAGTCTG